ATTATTTCTCTAATATATATATATATATATATATATATTTATTTATTTATCTCATAGTACTCCTTTTTGTTCTTTCTACCTCTCAAGAGGGGTGTCATGAACATTAGACTGATTCTATCACAGGGACGGTATTGACTTTACTTAGTAGTTATTTTTTTCAAGCAAAACTATTTCACGTAATATATATATATAGATATATAGTCGCAGTGTGTGGTTCCGTCGTAGATATCTTTTTTTGGTGTACGTCTAAAATGACTTTTCACGATGCAGAGAGTGAAGGATGGTTCATAACTGGTGTTTCCCTTCCACCATTGCTGGATGACGATTCAGAGGAAGGCAATGACGAAGACGGCAACCCAACCCACGAGTTCACTCGTTTAGTCCCCTTCAAGTTACCGCCAGCCCCACGCCTGAATAAACGGCACTTACACCTGTCAGTTCCGTCCGGTGATACTAACAGAAGGCATGTCCTATCGGTATGGGAGAGGAAAAACATTCTCGACCGCTTGAAGTGTCGCGAGCACTTAGATGAGGGTGCCTTTCAGAAGAATCTTTCTGAAGCCATGCAGCGAAACACCAAAGCGCATCTCCGGAAGGTGCAGAAAAAGGCCCATCGAGCTATGCAGGAGACGCAGGGGTTGCTGGAAGCAACTTTCATTCACGAACAAAAGCGTCGTAATATGATTTTTTACAAATACAAGCACCTTTTAGAACTGCGTAACATGGAAAAGTGGATGAGTCGTGCCCGGTCATGGCAGTGCATCATTGTATGTCATATGTTCCTCACTTCTCTCATCCAGGAACGCCGGGCGCAGGAATCGCTGGAGACCTTGACGCGCCTCTTTGGACCTATGGTTAAGCGATATATTGTCCTTAAGCGTAAGCGCCGTGAGATTGAAAACATCTTGGTAAATAACCTTAGTCACATTCCCTTTCCGACGCCGCAGTTGGTACAGAAGATGTCAGGGACCTTCTTTGACGGATGGCCTCCCAACCTCCTGGAAAAGTTAGTCAGCAAGGCGACTCCAATGTACCTCAAAAAGGGCACCTACCTGCTACACGAAGGAGATATTGGCCGCTCCATGTTCATGATCACCATAGGAATAGTGTCCATTATCTTGCCCAAGAGAGGAAAGTCAAAGCGACGATCCAAGGATAACTCTAGTGGTATTTTTCAAATTAAAGCTCCATGCTACGTCGGAGAGTTCGCGCTGGTTTGCAAAGAGCCACGTTCTGCAACCATTTACTGCGAGACTGACATTGGCTTCTGGACCGTCTTGATGGAGGACTACGAGGCGGTGAGAAAGCACCTGACGCCAGAAGTCGCGAGCAAGCAGAAACAAGCCACAAATCTTCGCCGCCAACAGAACCTGAAGAGGTTCTTCCCGCTGAAGGTGGATTTTCTACGTCAATTGCCCTTCTTTGAGCAATTCAGTGACGCCAGCCTACAAAGAATAACAGATAGCGTGGAGCCGATTGTGCTGCACGACCGAGACTACTTGTACAACTGCGGGGATATTGATTCCTCGATGTATTTTATCGGTGACGGGATCGCCATACTGAGGGAAAGTAATGGCGAGGAGAAGCAGCTCACTGCGGGAAGTTGTATTGGCATTTTTGAGTGTTCCTGTGATATTAATGAGCACAAGCCCAACTCCATCGTCAGCATCACTTACTGTGACGTGTGGCGACTGAGGAGGGAAACGCTGATTGACATTGGGATGTCCGAACCCGCCGCACTTCTCCACTGCCGGCGAGCCGCGAGGGCGGATCGCACGTTGCGCATCAAGAAGGACCCCAAAATACCGACATATATCAAATTAGACCCATACTTGGCGTTCTGTTTGAATAATGCGGCGATACATCGCTTTTATGAACTTTGCACCCCTTGCATCTGTCTAAATGGTGAGCGGTTAATCATTGCGGGCAGACCCGCTAGTACGCTTATCATTCTGCTGAGCGGTGCTGTTGACATCACGCTGAGGTACAACTCATCCCAGGAAACCTTTCGGGCGACCATTTCTTCCCCTTCTTCGCCAGTTTCCTCGACCTCGAAAACACCAGAAGAAATTTGGGGACTAAACTCGGACAAACTACGAGCCTTTACACGCGTGCTGGGGGCCTACGAATTTGCAGCCTCGATATCCCAATATGTATACACAGTTAAGAGTTTTGGCCTGACTGAGGCCTATTTTGTCGACAAGGCGAAGCTAGAGGCACTGATCCCCGACACCTTGAGATACTTCCTGTACAATAGCCTCAAAAGCAGAGACATCGTGCTTCAAGCATTCAAGACCAAAAACCTTGCCCTGTTGTCCGAAAACCAATCTATTAGTTTTACAAGACTGTACAAGACGGCGAGGGAAGCAAATAAAAAAAGGGAGCCGAATTGAAAGCGTTTTCCCCTTCACGTGGCACCACCCTTGAATTGCATGGTTTATGATACCAATACGGACAAGGGTAATAAAATGAGTGTATTATCATTATTATTAGAAGAAAGAATGTACATTACATAAGATTTTAAATCTAAGATCAGTTCTTTTTTCGGTTTATGAGAATGTATTTGATGATATTAGTTGGTTACATTATATTGGTGTACAAAGCATCATTTATATATCTTTTACTTGCATTGAATTCTAAGTTGCTCGCCTAAGTGTTTTCAAGAACTTAGATCATGTATTTATGAACGTATAGATGGTATAACCACCTCTGTCGCATACAATACATACGCGCACATATATTTGTATTTCTATATGTAAATACCGTTTTTGCTGAAATTGCATCCTTGCCATCCGGCCAGTCATATTATTAAGGAGCCGGTTAGTATCTCAGTAACAAGAGTCAACTATTTTTCAATTACTGTACTATCCTTATGGTGTTTTTTGCTGTTATAGAATTTCTTTCAGATTTATCCACTTTATCCCTCAGCCACCATTTTTATTTCACATAGTGCATAGGAAGAATCATGAGCTTGGTAGATCAACTTGCTATTGTCGAGGATATTATGCCCCCAAAGCGACAGCTCTCCATCAGCTCTGTAGACTCTGAGCCCATCAAATTGTGCAAACGAAAGGGCACCCAGACTCCATCGGTTGCTGAAAGCGAAGAAGGAAGGAAAGATTCGCCACAGGTAGGAGCGCGACTTCCCGTTGAGGCGGATATTGGAATAAGTTGCCAGGAAACCACAGTGCCCATCGAGTGTGTTTCCGAGGCACCGGTCGCCGTGCTCTACTCCGTATCGCAATCGAGCTGCATCTGCGTCGCCGAGCGCATTAAAGAAGCCCTCGTGATGGATGTGGGGACGCGCTTCTGTCTGTCCGATGGGACCTTTGTGGGCGTCCTCGCGTCCGTGATGGGGCCCGTTTCCAGCACCTTTTACCAGGTCGCCTCCACAGCACATCAGTTTTCGCAGCTTAAAGAGCACCCCGAAGGCCTATCGGAGGGCACGCCGCTGCATTGTGATGTGGTGCACCGGCACGTTATTTTTGACCTCCTCACACAGTGCGATATCACACAAGGGACGGATGCAAGCTATATCGATGACGAAGAGCTCCCGGACCACGTACGACCCGATTTTTCTGACGACGAAAAGGAGAAAACTTGGAAGCGGCAGCATCGGGCGGGCTCAGCGGCGGAGGCTGAAAGTCCCTGTTCTAGTTCTAGCAGTGCACTCGATAACATGCCGTGGCCTCAGTCGGATGGTTTCGGCACGCTTTCTGTCTCCACCTCCCGCCCCCTCGCTCAGTCCAAGGATCACCTTGTGGTCCCCGCCTGGCTTCGGTAAATCAATACATTAATGATGATGGGGAGAGTGGGTGGGTTGTACAAACACTCGCCACAAACGCATGCATCATCAAGTGTGCCGGTAACGGGTTTCTGAGGACCGAAATAATAACCGTAATAAGTAAGATCGGTAAATACATTATGCGACCTTGGATGGAGTAGAAAATGTGAAATGCCAAAGAACAGTTTTTCCCCTATGCATGTAGGGACGATTGGATTACCTCCTCTATGCAACGGAAATTTTCATGGTGAAGATCTATTGGGCACTTTTTGAAGAGAACAACAACAGAAAAGGAGATAAATGTAACATCATTTGCATACAAAAAAAACATGACATTGGTGCACACCAGATAACTAATTTTGTTTATCAGAGGGGAGCCCTTTAGAATTTGCAGATTGCCGTAATGATTAACATGTCATTTGAACCTTTTTTTAAAGAAAAACAACAGCAATGCCGTGACTTAGTCCAATTTATCTGCACAAAAAGAAAAGGGATCCAATTACATCTCGATAAAATTAAAATACATATTGCGAAATTATTCTCCCGTAAAGAAGCAAAAAAATAAAGAAATAAAATAGCATTTTTTCTTATATACATTATCAGCACGATTCCAATACATTTTGCCACGCTAAAGTTCCAGTCTCAAGTCCTATTATTAAATGACTAACATTATACCTTCACCCGAAGCAACATAATTCTTCTACATAGTTGCCTTATTATTAGTAGAACCTCATGCACGCGCAAATATCATTCGAGTAACGTCCTTACCATCATCCCTTACGACAGTGTGAACACCTCGCATCGCGAAGCCTTCCTCCTCCAACGCTTCCATTATAGTGAGGAAGAACATGGCACGACCTTTCTGACAACAGTAGTGCTGGGCCAATTCAATCTTCCAGCTCGAGTACTTACTTGTATCGGGTGCAACATTCTCGTTGCCTCCATTAGTGGTCTCTTTAGAGGTCAGCAGGAAGCAGGGCTCGATCTTTCGTTGGGTCGGCATGCTTGTAGTTGTATGCTTGGGCAATGCTTTTTGAAGCGCGTCGATAGTCTCCTGGCGGAGACTGGCGCTTCTCACTGTAATGTCGGGAGGGTTAAAGGTGCAAGTCACCACAACGTTCGGCATTATTGGATTGGTAAGCGGGTATTTTTTTTTCTTTTTGAATTTTTAAAAATTGTGTAGTTATATTCTATTGCAATATAAGTCTAAGAGAGAAGGAGATACAGAAAAGCGCTTTTTTTTTTGAATCACCTCTTGGAAATATATACCCAGTTAGATTTTATTCTTTACAATTTTGGTTAAACAGTCCAAGACTGTTTAAGAAACACCATAAACATCACAGTATGGAAAAGTATGCAGACAAAGGAAATCAAGTAATGTATCGCCTAATTGGAGCTTCGCAGTCGCCCCCTACTTAGCTCTACCCTTTCTTCTCTTGGTTTAGTATTACTTAAGGGGATTAGCTTCTTCAGCCGCCAGGCGCTTTGGGGTCCAGAACGCGTTATATTTTTTCTTTGCTTCGCTGAACTCAAAGGGAGGACGGTAGTTAGCCCACTGGTTGTACCGCAGCAAGACTTCACCCCAAGTTAGAGAGCATTGCTCCTCCACAGACTCCTCCGCCTTGAGGGCCTTCGCGACGCAGATGCGATGCGCCAGCTGTGCGTTCTCCAGGTGTTTCTGCAGGGCCTCACTGGGGAGCATAGAGCGGATAGCTTCATTCGAAAGGTCATGAAAATCAAACTTCTGAGTCATTTTGTATGATGTCAAGAGAGTTTTAGCGCCAAAAAGATATACTAAGTTTCGACTTTCTTTCTGGTTGTGCCTAAAGAAAATATAGTTCTAATAATCCACTAATGCTTAAAGTGAAAATATAATATTTACTTGAAATACAGAAGATTTAAAATGTACGTGAGTAGTAGTCAAATCTGTTCGGTTGCACTGGTATTAAACATAGAAAGAAAAGCCAATTCTAACAAGTAAAAGAGAAAAAAAAGAAGGTGAACGGAATATAACTCAGGATAGCGCTTGTGCTAGCAGGAGTTTATGTGCCCCTTCCAATTTAGTGGGACAAGACGTCTAAAATGAGTTTAAGAGGGATCTATGATAGCAAAACGCTTCTTGCAAGAAAAGGCATATATTAGAACACAATTGTTGGAATATCAATAAGTGGCAGGGAATGTAAGCAAAGGACGGAATTTGCCCTCGCATCATCTTTCGCCAATTTCACATTTCATTGAACCGCGCAATCATCCATGTCTGAAACTGAGACGTGCTCGTCGGCCTTTTCAACCCATGACGCGGATCCCAACTCGTCCTCCGGATGCCTCGCCGTATCGTTCGGGGATGGGTAGGGCTGACTGTACTCGGCGAAGAACCGCGCCGTGGTTTGCACCAGCGCCGTCTCGCAGTACTCGATCTCCTCCCGGAGCGATAACATCAACGTGTGGTCGTTGATCTGGTGACCACGCGCCAGGACCTCCCCTGCAGGCTCGGTATTCCCCCGCATCGCGGCTCGCAGGCAGCGCAGGACGCACTGCCGCCGCGGGCGTGGGCACCCCCCCTCCTCCCCCCCGCCGTGCGGGGTGTTCCGGCAATGCTCCACCGCATTGCACACCTTCACGAGGTATTCCATCCCACTCAAGCACTGACAGATGAGTTCGTGCGTCGTTGGGGAGGAGGCCGAGCGGGGCGAAGCGACTTCCCCCTTGGAGCCCCGCTGGAAGGCCGCCTCATAGGCCTGGACTCTGCCCTCCAGCTCGCACATCCGCCACTCCAACTCTCGTATTCGCAGATCCTTCGCCTCTAGTTCCGCACGGTGGGAGGGGGGGGCATCCTCTATTTCTCTCCCGGGGGATGCACCCAACAGGCCTAGTTGGGGGTCCGGATTGGCCGACGCCGCGCTGTTGACTACACCTCCAGGGGAGTCCGCAACGCGCGTTCGACGTGCCGCGTGATCGGCCTGCAGACGCTCCGTCAGAATCGACGCCTGGAGGACATGCGCCTTGAGCTGATCGCGCAGTCGGGCGTTCTCGATGCTGTAGCGTGCGGCCAGGTGACGAGCGCGACGCAGCTCCCCCCCCAAGTCATCGGGTGCGTTGTGAACCTCAGAGACGACTATGCTCGAGACCTCTAGTGCTTTGTCGTAATCGGAAAGCAAGGTTGAGGAGGATGGGCCGTTCTCCTCGTCCACCGCATGAGTCGAGGACAGTACGGTCTCCAAAAGGCCAGTTGTGCGCGGGATGTAAAAGCGTTGCAGTTTTTCTCTATACAATTTCGTAGGAGTACCGGGGCCGTCGGAAGAGAAGGAGAACATTATAGGAGCGATATCACCCACAACTCTCTTTTACCTCTATTGGAGACTTCCTAAATTCCTATGAATTTCACGCGGACTCGTTTTATGATTTTATTTCTCTAAGATGGCATTAGATGATCTCTTATCGCGTCTATTTATGTGTGATGTTTGCTATCGAGTTTTCACAAGGGAAAGGGAAAGAGACAATCACGCTAAGATAATTAGTGGGCAACAATACACCAAATAAAATGAAAACATATTTATACAAATCGTAAAAAAAAAAGAAAACTTTGAGAAAAAATAGCAAGTCTTTTTTTTTCACAAAATAAAAAAATACGGCATGTAATATTGCATGCACTCACACGCAATATCTATATATAGTAAAGTTAGAGGAATCCCTTCTTTCCTGACATTTTTATTTTTCAAATAAACAATGCACCATGAAGAGATCCCCCCCCCCACCCCTGCGTTTAATTTACCCCCCACCTTCATATAGGAATACCATAGTTGAGTGGATGAAGCCAATACTATAGGTACCACCCCAGGTGGGACGTGCTATGTGTATTTCCAGATAATTAAAATTAACAATCATACATTATTGGACTGAAAGTGCATTTATACCTGCCGTTGGTGTGTAGAGCTGTTAAGCGGGTACTAGCCTAGATTGAAGTAAAAGTACAACCGAAAACCCCTTGGGATGTGAAACAATCCATGCCCACTACTTCCGTCCCGTGGTGCCCTCACCCAAGTGTTTGTACTCGTTGCACGTCAAAGTATCTGGCACTGTGTTGGTCACGAATGTTTGGTGACTTGGCTTAAAAAGTCTTTCAGCACTTCCGTTACCCCAACAGCTAGTTAAACTATCCGAACTGTATGTGGCATATGTGTGAAGACTGGAGTAGCCACCTGACGCATCAACTGTTGTTCTAGAAAGATTATCGTTCTCTTGCTTTTTGGTGGCTCTCTGCCGAGTGTCAAGGGTGCTTGGTAAAAGACCATGTTCACTCCATCCAGATCCAGTGGATGGTAATCGAAGGAACGGTATGCTATCCGTCTCGTGCGAGCAATACTCTGAGGGTAACGGACTCGACGGATGCTCTTTGACGTATTTCTGCAAATACTGATTCCATGAAGCGTCATCTTCTATGGAGCGTGCTTTATCACCCGCCTTTTCTTTCTGATGCCGCTGGCGTGCTAATTCGTTGAGAGTTGGCTCAAACTCACGCATCGTCTCTGGACACACAACCTTGCTCAAGTCTAAAAGACAGAGGTTAATGGTAGCGTGCAGGGGTACGTGGGCAAAAACCTTATAAATGCTGCGCGTCTCCTCGTCTTGCACGAAGGTTTTGATTTCATCGACAGATCCCGAGATGCTCTCAGGCAGCGGTGCATTCCTAAGCTTTGCATCGTGTTTTAGCATTTTCATCGAGACCATATGCAGATAGTACGGTTGCCCATCAGACTCTGCGTACAGCTCGTACACCTTGTGTTCATCTTCCTTTTGTTGACTATGGGGAGTGTTGTTGGATCCGTGAGGACGTGGTGCTATGGGTGGTGACTCGCGCGCCAAGGATGGTGACAGCCCTTTTGGCTCCTTCGTGGTCTCATTGAGGGCCTCAAGCAGAAAGTGCATTGTGGTCTTATCAGACTCCGATAACGGCTGCGGCAGCAATTTATTCATTTCCTTGAGGCGATCAGAAATGTCGATACCGTCCATAAAGCATTGCCTGGTCTCGTAGTCAGGTGTGGTGAGAACGTATCGAGACTGCAAACTGTACGGATCCGTATAATTCGACAATTTTAATTCTTGTTTAATTGCAGTAATCCCACCGCCATCTTTGTTTTCAGCCGGAGCAAGGCCAGCTGAGGTCAACTGAGGGTCGTCGTGGCGATGAAGCATGCACCTATAGCGCTCTCTCCGAAAGAGATCAAACCGGACGGTATTGCCCACCTTCAGTGGGCTGACCACTTGTAGGACACACGGCCTCAACGTGAAGCCGGCAACCGCGCTGTTACAAATTGGGCACAAACGCTGGAGGTTGTTAGCCTTGCGAAAGCTGAGGTACTGTAAAATACATGGCATGCAGAACAAATGACCACACTCCGTGATTCGTGGGGCAACAGGGGGGCTAATACATATAGGGCACTCAAAATCATCAGGCGTCGTGCGCATCACTACCGAGTGAACGGCATCCCACGGGACCAGGTTGTCGTAGGAATTGAGGCACTCCATCAGTTTGCGTTGTCCCTGTGGAAGGACTTGATCGGCTTTCTTACACAGCAAGTCCGCGCGCAAAATGAACTGAAAGTTTTGAAGCATAAAGGCACGCCGTAGAACAAGAGTGTCGACATGGCGGCGCACTTGTCGGCGTGTATGTAAATGACGACCACGAGAGGCTACCGTTTGTTGAGCCGCATATTCAGAGTCCCAGAAATCTCTAATCGCAATTCCATTGCTTTGTCGATTTCGATTCTTGGGCATTCTGTACTTATGCGCAATTACTACAATGGTATAGCAGATGACTGAATCCACCTATATATATATATATATATATATATATATATATATATAT